AGCTTGAATACAGTGCAAGCTGCGCCTCTTTGAGGGCAGTCCCTCGAGCAGCTTACACACATCCATCCATCCTGGAGGACGACAGCTGCAGGAGATTGCCTTGGCCAGTGGACTGGTGGGAGGGAAGAGAGGGAGGCGCTCCAAGGACATGCCAAGACGCTCGACGATGGATTAGGAAGCTTCCGCTCGCTGCAAGAGGAAGCTGAAGCAAGAAAGCGCAGCGAGGCGAACGTCATCGTCATCAAGTTGGACATCGCATCGCGTTGTTTACCCGGGTCCAACGTTATCCTTTTTGGCAGTGGCCGCCTTTGTTGTTTTGTTATTTTTCATGTCAGTCAAAGAATTGGCAACGGACATGGCCGATGAAATATGTTATACATATACATGGGGATCGAACGAGCGAGGGACAAACTTGGTCGTGGGGCACATTGCATCAATATTGAAACGTCAACATCAAACTTGCCCAGCGGCCAAATGGCGCTCTCAGAGAATAGACAAAGGACGATGCTGCAGGATGCTGCCTCGACCCAAAAAGCTGATGAAGAGTTCACATTTTTCTTTGTATGATTTGACGAATGAGCTGTCATCTTGCATTGGAAACTTGCCTCTATCTCCCCTCCTCCTCCTCCATCTCTTTCCTGGAAAACTCAACACAACTGATGATGGCCTTTCTTGTTTGTATTCCTTTTTGAGAAAAAACGTTGATGGCAAAAAAGTTGCTGACCATTTCGTTTGATGCTTCGTTGAGGGACATGAAGGAGTTGGACAGAGAGACGAGATGAATCTCATTTGCTCTTGGCTAAATTTGAAATTGAAGTCTTCGAACAGATTCTGATTATATTTCTGTGAGAGGTTTTAGGAATTCTTTGGGAAAATTGTTGCAAATCGGGGCTCTATTTTTCCTTAGAAACTCACATACTTTTCTCATCCTTACCTTATCAGTATAGCATATTAAGGGCATAGTCTATATAGGTTTTGGTAATTTTAACCAGTTATAGTTTCTTAGAAGTGTTTATATAGTCATCTGGATTCGTTTACTATTATTTATCACATTTCTGCATATAGGGCATAATTTAATGATCACTTACAACCAAATTTGATAAGAAATTATTAGATTAAGAACCAATTATTTCCATTTACAACGAAACCAACGATTCTCAAAGTGACTTCCCTGGAAAACTTGAACATATGGACAACTCCTGAGTCCGCAATGTTGCGCCTTTTCCGACGATTGACGGCAGGGGAACACTTTTATTGATGCCCGGACATTCGTCATGATTTCTTAGAGCCGCCAGACGCTTGGTGTCACTCTCACGTCCCGTCCTTGGAGCCCGGAGACCCCCGACCGGAGCCCAACACTGACCCTCCGCTCCCGCTGATAACACCATAAATGATGCAATAATTTTTTCAACTTCAGACGGGCTGGGCTGGGCCAGTGAGCTGAGAAAAATCAAGAGAAATTTGCCTTTGGGAATTTGGTTCGTGAGCAGGAAAGGATTTTCGTCGCTGGCATACGTTTTGTTTGAAAAATGCACAGGACATTACGAGAGGAGCTTGTGCTGCTCCTTGGATCCGTTATGTATGACGGCTGGTCAAGGGGGAGGTGTCAAGTGGGTGGTGCACGGAGTCCGGGCGTCAGCTTGGGGGGAGTAAAGGACTTTCCTTTTCGTCATCTTTCGGGGTCCTGACTGACGGTCAGCCCTGTCTCGGCGTCCTGCTAATGGCTCCGGTCCATTATCTCGTCATGTTTGTTACGAAATTTAATTACTCTTATTTATTTTTCACTGCCCCTTCCCATCCGCATCAGCGTCCGCTTTCGCTTCCGCATCCGCATTCGCGTCCGCGTCCGTGTCCTTGTCCTGCTCTGGTTTATGATTTTCAACTTCGTCAAAAAATGCGAAGGCAAAAATTAAATGTGAAAAAATGAAATTAAAAACACTTTTTGCATAAAGCGTCCTCCCGACTCTGCCCTACGCCCACTTGCTTCCTTCCTAATGTCTCGTCACTTGACCTCTCTTGGGGTTGGAGTGCCTCGAGATGAGTGTTTTGGGAAAAATCTCATATTATTAGATTGAGGAAATTGTATTTTTTATTGCTGACACGTTGATGTCAGACTTTCCTAGATTTTAAGATTTAATGGATTAATCAGAATTTGTGTAACAAAAAGTAAGTTAAGTAGCAAAAACTAATCACAATTTACATAGGGAAGAAGATGAAGTCGTAAGCTATTACAGTAAGACTTCTCTTCTTGTACTACAACATTTCAATATTTGCTCTTAATGGACTTGAAAGCGGAGCAATCTTAAATCAATACTTTTTTGTAGTCCCTTTCCGGAGATTGCTGTCGGGCTCACTTTCGCTGCATACTTTCAGGATGCGAGGAGTACGTAAAAAGGACTCGATGGCGAGCAAATGCTAAGATCCTTTAAGATTTGTCTTCTTTCCTTTGCCGTCGTTGAACAATCCTTTTGAAATTAAATGCCCCACGGAGATGCTGACTAAGGAAACTGTTCCATTGACCAGCGATGGAAGATGGAGCCGCCCGACTTCTCCGGCAGTCCCGTGCATGTCCATCACTTGCTTTTGTCTTTCGGTTTTGTTTGCACACGCCATTTCTTGCACAAAATCCTTGCAACCTCAGTGGCAGCCTCTTAGACCTGCCACGCCTCCGATGCCATTGCTACTGCACCGCCCACGCCCACGCCCACTGGCATCCCTGCAGCTGTCAGTCAATGTGTCGTGTCACAGTGTCTCTCCATCTGTCTGTCACTTGCATGTCTGTATGTCTATTCTACGTGACACCAAGCGAGCGAATTTCCAACTCTTCCCGCTTCATCCCAACTTGCCAGCCTGCTTTCCTGCTTTCTTGCTTTCCTGCTTGCTAGCTGGCTTGCCTACTTGCTTGCTTGCCGGTTTGCTCAAGTTTTCCTTGGCAAGCAGGGGGCAGGAGGACCTCCAGTGAAGGATGCTCTGCAAGCGATGGATGGATTTTTGGATTCGCAACTTGCACTTGGATTACAAGTCTGATTTTGATGCGTACATGTTTGTCCCGCTCTCAGTGCCTGGGCTGGGAAGTACATATTGCACTTGCAACTACACTGGGAGAAATGGTTTTAAGACTTATGGATGTGAATTTGCGATACAGATCTTTAATGGATAGGTAACCAGGAATGGAAAGTAGGCTAGACATTGTAAATATGAGGGGATCAAATGAAGGGTTAAGTCTCAGAAAGTCTTATTTGATACATATGATAATATAGCCAGGTTAATCTCGTCTTTACACTTTCCAAAGCTGGCACGAAAACCAGTATTTTTAAACACATTTCCGCAGTTAACTTGAATAAAGTAAAACCTTCCTTAGAAGTGCAATTTTTTACCCTGTAGAATCCCCCGAAACCCTTCTCTATTATGGGTCAACCTCACACAAATGCGAGAGGGGGCGAGGCTAGGAGAGTGTGGGAACGCTCAAGTTTTCTTATGCTTTTGTCTTTGTGTCCTTTTATTATTTTATTCCCTGGCCTTGTTTTAATTCACAGCGTCTGCTGCCGCGTCATCCTCCCGGCCCGACTTTGTCTTCGTGGCAGAATCCTTCTTCGTCTCCGCAACATTGTCTCAGTCCGCATCCTTGCCAAGGATGCCAGCTCACAGACACAGACACATGTGCCTGTGTGCGTGTGGGAAATGGTAGATGGGAGCTGCTCTTGTTGTTGGGTTGTAAGTGACATTCGCAATTTTGAAAACTATTGAATGAGTGACAAGTTCTGCAGACACGATTGAAACTGACAGCTAACTCGGTACTCGGCAGGCAGTGACTTGCACTGAATGTGGAAGCCCTCTAAGCATGCAGTTGCATCTTCCGAAGGCGTAACCGAACCCGCAACTGAATACTTCCCATTGTTTGGTCTTTAAGAGGCTGCAGGGATCACTCTCAAACGCACTAAAATGATTACCTTCAAATAGTTAAGTCACAAAAACTAGTTTTTAGTGACCCTTAAACTTTAAGCAGACCCTCAGATTGCCCGTTTTACTGATGAATGAATCGCCAATAAAATGCCGTTTTTAATAAGACTGGCAAAGGCCATCGGACAGATGCCGCTGCAGCTGACGATGATGACGATATCAGCCGGTGGAAGAGGTGACGGGTGACTCACTGGCCATTAACAATTTCATTTATTTTGTCGCATCGAATGAGTGAGCTGGGCTTGGCCTGCGGTGTACTTTCGACCCAGTCTGTCTGTCAATGTCAACATCAATGTCACTGCGTCCTGGACCAGACATTTTGACAAATAATTCAAACCGCATTTTATAATGAATTTCCCAGCGGCCTGGATGGGATGGGGCCCATCCAGAGGAGGGCGTGGCTGCAGTTAGACTGCACCTGATGAGCCCTCTCCCCATATTTGGCCAGGCATTTGCGGGAGATTTATGCGAAATGCATTCCAGGGGGAAAAAATACCAAAACTGATAATCACATTGATGAGCGTGGCTTTATTTTTGGATCTTTGGAGGCCTTAAGTGCCAGAAAGCGACGAGTTGGCGTCACTCACACTCGCATCACCCGCCCATAAAGAGATGGTTTTATGGGGCTCACTGTGTGTCCGGCTTGGGATGACTCCTGGCTGCCGGCGATCGTAAATTTGTACTCGTACAGCCAGGCGTCGTAAAGGTTTTTAACGGCTGACAAATGGGCAATGAAGATCGGCTCTAGCCAGGCAAAATAAACTACAGTAAGCCATAAGCCAAGTCCATCAAAGGATCAGCAATAACAGCGGACTTAAGGCTTTTGCAAGTGCACTTAAATTCCGTATAAAACTTACTGACTGACCCCTTAGTCATGGCTCAGCCAACTTGTTTCGCAACCTGAATTTACATAATCGGCGCTCATTAAGGCGACCCAAAAAATCGATATCCGAGACAAAAGAAATATTGTTATTGCCGCTGACAGCTGCCGTCATATTCGATCGCATCGTCAATGTCAATTACCATAAAAGCGCCGAAAATAACTTGGAATTTGTATTTGGCAGACATATTTGGCAGCGAGTATTAAGGAAATCGAAATGACACTCCGATCTCAAGCTTCCAGAAAGGAGATGGGCGCCTGCTCCTGCTTGGCGTCTTCGGCCTTGGGCAAGATTAGTTCCCCAATGGGAAAACAATGGACTTGAATTTGTTGTAGATGCGCAGGGTTTCGAAGTGAAAGCCCTTTTCGATCACCACAGTGTTGTTCTCCCCTTCAAGATCCTTGGCAATAGGCGTGAGGTCGATGTTTGTGCAATTCATAAAGAAATGGGGTGAATCGAGGGCCACTGCGAGCTCGTAGCAGCCGTGAAGGGACTCGTTCCAGATGGACACGGATGCGAAGGGCAGGGTTTCCCGGTGGCAAATGTCGATGGCCTCTATGTTGCAGCGGAAAGTGTGGAAAGTCACAACCCCAGTGGGGTAACGCCCCAGCTCATCGTGGGTGCACTCGCAGACGAAGATCGGAGAAGCCAGTGGTGGTGCCACCTCGGAAGTTTCAGCTTTGATTACTTCCAGATTGGATGACTCCAGTTTCTCCATAGCTGCCTGAAAATTGGGATGTTCGGCCACGAACTCGGCCAAGGGATGAAGCTGCGGAAGGATTTTCTTGACGACCTCTTCGCGAACTCTCTCCTCTACCAGAACCATGGCCACCGCATTGGGGGCAAAGGGGTTATGGACGGACTCCAGAAGAAAGTGGAGGGCACTGTTGATGTCGCCTTCCCCGAAAATGATCATCAACTGGGGAGATGGTGCCAAAGTGGCTTCTGCAGACTCAACGGTTTCGGTGGTTTCAGATTCCTGGGCGTTCGCTTCGGACACCGATGCTACTTCTGCGTCTTTCAAGTCCAGAGGATTCCCCTGCAGATCGTGAACCATGTCGTAGGTAACCGGGTTATCCAAGAACGTGGAGTCATCGGACTCCAGCTGGGAGGGGTGCTCCGACTCAATCGAACGGGGAAAGTACTTGGTAGTATCAAACATGGCGACTAGCGATGTGTCTTATAAAAGTGTTAAGTTAAAGGGCAAACTTGATTGAATGAAGGAATAGGAAAAGAAAATTTGTTTAGCTGAAATTTAGGCAGGAACTCCGACTGCTCGATAAGCCTGCACTAATAACGCCACCTAATTATTTGGGCTCTATTTAAGGCAGTTTAGTTTGGATTCCACAGCATAACTAGTCATGCCCCAGGGGCTTAGAAAGTCCTTTTAGCAGAGCTCAGTGGAACCCCGAAACGCGGCAGATAAACCGAATTAGAGCGGCACAAAATTTAGTTAACCAATAGCCACGCCGCGTTTTATTTGTTAATCGCTTAATTTATGATCGAATGTGACAGTAAAATTAAAATATCACAAACAGATACAAAAAAGCCGAAAATACACAAAAGTACTCAGCCATGGGCCGAACAGGAATCCCAAAATGCATTTGGATTTGCTGAAATTAGCATTAAAATATTATAAATATTTTGCCAAAATATTACAATCTTTTTTCGCTTGCATTTCTGTGCCCGTTTAGGCCCCCTTTTGGGCTGGCTAACAACAAAGAGCATACGATTATGAAACAACAGCAGAACACGACTAACAACGACAATTAAAAACATTTAAAACCACAGAGATATTTTTTCGCCTGGCCCGATGGCGGACAACAAACGCACCGCAAAAAATGCATAGTAAATTCCTAACGAGTTGAGGGACATCCGCGAGGACATCAAGTGCAGGACAATGGAGCAAATATAACAGGACGATAATTCTGCTAACGATGACCATTTACATATATCAAGAGTAATTATAATAAAATGCCGAAAATAAAATTAAAATTAATATAGAAAGCCGATTATAAAATCCCGCCTATGCAAACAGATACCCCTTTCCCACGCCCACGCATTCCGTTTGCCAACAACAACTGTCAAAAATAGCAAATCCCATAAATCAACAATGAGTTTTCGCCCAGAAAAAAGGAAATGGCAACGCAAATAGAAAAAACATGCCATGTATACATAATTTAAGCAAATAAATTTGTATTTATTTTCTATGCAAATAAGCGCTTAACCGAAATCATTACCAGCTTTACGGTCCTTCGCAGGACATCATTACTACTTTCTGACTAACTTTTAGAAGGCTTGGAAGATCCTTTCTGTTTAAACTAATTCGGACATCTTGATCAAAATGTTTGGAAATCTATTCAAGAAGGGCGTTGTGGTTCTTCTAGGGGTAAGTCTTTGATGGGCATTCTTTTACCTTCCAGCAACTTCTCTATGCTTCCAGCTGGTTCTAGCCATACTACTGAGAGTAATAACAACTTACTCCTTGATGTTTGGGGGCTATCAGTTCACTGCTGATGTAGTCAGTTACTATATAGCTATCACAAGTGCCGTTTCCGTTATGGTTTTCCTGTTTGCGGTGAGCATTTTCCTAGCTTACCTGACTAATGATTGGATTATCTTAGGGGTAAGTAGTTAGCAAAGAACATCGCAAAGATATTTCATTCAGTACTTACCCCTTCTGATATACACTTGCCACTGGACCTTACTCCGCGTTCTCAAAACGAATCGAGTCTCTGGGCAAGAGGTATGAGGCCTTGATGGATGGCATAGCGAAAAAGTGGCTTGACTTCATCAACGACAACGAGACTCATTGGACAGCCCTGGAAAAGAAGGTAAGATCTCCTCTCAATGCGCTTTCTCCTTCATAACGGACTCTCTCTCTCTCTCAGATGAGATGCTGTGGGCTGGAAGGACCGCGGTCCTATATGGACTACATGCTGAGGGTTCCCGGCCACTGCTATAGTCCAGGACTCATCACCCTGGGCTGCAGTCATAAAGTCGAAAACATATTCAACCCACTGCTAAACCTGGGTGGCCTCGTACTCAAACTGATGGTTTTCCTAGAACTGGGCATTTTCCTCTACTATGCTTTGAGGATTTTCAGAAAATTCTTCGGCGTAATTGGAAAGAAGAGGGAACAGAAGTCTTTTGGCCAAGCGACTCGGTACAAATACCCTTTTATGTACAACAACAAAACCATTTAGAAAATAAAATGATAATGGCTCGCCTATATGTATCCGATATGTCCGATGTGTATGGGCTTAGGGTGCCAATTTTTATCTATGCCACATGCACATGCAGCTGACAAACCTGAACGGGACAAATGAAATAAATTGAAATTAGCTTCCTTTTGTTGCCGTTGACAATTTGAATAAAATTAATATAAATTTGCTCACATTTTTAATTAATAAATGTCAAGTGCTCTGCGTATGGGTATTTATTTGTGAATTTATTTGTCTGATTTGTAAATTTCCTTTTTTCTGCCGCTGCCTTTTGTCTGCTGTGGCATTTCATGGAAAATTGATTTTGTTGTAATTGCGACGATAACAAATTTCCCAGGCTTCCTCCTCTGATCGGCGGGGGCAGGAGGGGCTTATGAAAAAAGTTTCGAATGGCGCCAAACATAAAAATGGGCGGGAGAGGTGAGCGAGGTGGCGGAAGCATACTTTGGACTCGCGCGGCGGAAACGGAAGTCAATATTAGCAGGCAGAAATGAATTTTCGCCACTGCGAAACAATTCACATTAAGCAAAACGCACGAATTTTTGACAATTGCACACAATTATTAATGGTCAGAATCTGTCGCGCTGTGCTGCCCGAATTATTATGGGCTTTGCTCTTTTTTACCGCTATTTTATTTATATAGATGATATCAGGAAATCAATTTTGGGAAATTTATGACCGAGAGCCAGGCCTCGCCACTGCGGTCTAAGGTAGATAAATGAAAATTGCTTTCGATTAGGCTAACAATTGGTAAACGAGCTAGCTCAGGAATGTGCCGATCGAGGGTGGTTTGAGGACTTCTGATTTAAATTTCAATACATTGATACAAGAGGTTGTTGTATCCAAAAGAGAACACAGTAAAAGATTGATAAGCCAAAAACCATGAGCTAAAATAAGGAATCATCTAATCAGTTATCAATAACTAAGGTCCAGTGTAAGCCTGACAGAATGCCTACTTAAGACTCCTCCGGCCACTCTCGCCTCCGCCTTCACGGATCCGATGTCAAAGTCAGTCATTAAACACGTGAACGATCCAGCAAACCTTAACGACTGTGGGCGAGTGTGACGTGAGGTGGCTATGAAATCGCTTTGATTGATTGCCGTTCCCGAATTGACGACGATAGGAGGACCACACGATGTGCGATGTGTGTTAGCTCTGTCAGTGTTAAATTTAAAAATGTACACATCGCGGCGATAAGTGGGAGCCGGGGCCATAAATACTCAGCGCGCCCACGAAGCGGATTTCTTATGGCCCTGCGGATGGGTGCTTGCAAATATTTTGTGGCTGGCAAGTGTCAAACATTGGCCATCGTGCAGACAGCCAGCCATCAGAGTGAGACTTATCATTTGCTCATAAAAATGTCAAAACTATCACGCTGACAGTGACTGATGACGGCAAGGAGGACTCCGAGGAGCGAGCAGTGCGGAGTGGCATTCCACTTGGGTTCCTCCTGCCGCAGGATGCCAATGCTAAATGCTTCGTCTCCTCCACTTGTCACATATCCAGCTCTGCCGTCCTTCAACACGCATCCTCCCGTTGACTGATTCCATTCCATCTCTCTCCCATCGAGATGTTATTTTTTCCCTGTGCCAGTGCATTCAGCCATCCATCTAGCCGTCAATCGAGTGACTCAGAGCTGCTCTCGAGCCATCAGCATAACCACTCCATAACCGTCTCCTCTGTTTGGCATGATTCATGGCTCCGATTGAATTTTGATTGACAATATCGCCAGCGTTTAAAGTGTCTGTTTCCGCTTTCCGTGTTCTATGAATATTTTTTCTCCACTCCGGCTGTGGCTCTTGCAAGTGGCTTGGCTTTTCGGATCGCAGGGCTTGGGAGTAGTGATTTTAAAAATCATTTGTCCTTTGACAGATGGGCGATTGATTGACTTCGTCGGCTGTGAATTCATCGCAGTTGGAGGCTGGGCTATCTCAGGAAATGTGTGTGCTGAGGTGTGCTTATTAGGGTATGTGGGTAATGCATAAGTTTGTGAAGAAAGTGGGTTAAGGGTGCCATAAACCATCATTACTGTACTAACATTTGGAATCCTAAATATAAATATTACAACGTATAATAATGATATTAACCTTACCCCTTTTCCGTCCACAGCTCTTAACCGTAAATTAATAATGGCATATAATAACTCATAACTCATAATCGCGTTTGCTTTTTCATCATGTGGCCGATGAGAATAAAAACTAGTTCATGTAAATTTATAACCTTTAATATGTGTGCCATCCCCTGCTAGCTATCGATTACAAACCCCATTACCATTACGAGCACCCACTCTTCCAGCTCGGACGCTCACATTAATTAGCGATAAGATCACCTTCGGTCTGTGGATGTGAAAATATCAATTTCATTTTGACATTGATTGAATTAATTTATGAGCTGTGCCTTCCCAGTGGCCTGCCACACCACGTCCACACCCCACTGGCTTATTTACGACCGTTACCAATTCGAACCAAATCAGAGCGATTTGAGTGATTACCTGTTTGACCAATTTGAGATTTATGCTCCCAGGCGGAGTGAATGATGTCGCCCGGCTGGAAATCTAATCGATACCGAGTGTCTGATAAGCGTGTTTTGAATTGGAAATTCAGCTTGGAATCTTAGAGAATTGGATTAATGCCACTGATTGTATAAAGAAATCGAATTGCTAAAGTATTCCGCGAAAATGTCATAAGGCAGCTTGACTTTGTATAAGAATTTACTTCTGATTTTGGAGAGCCAATGAAGATCACTTAGACTTTTTAATCATCATGTAAGTTGTATTAAATGTTTAAGTAAGAAAAATATTATTTTAAACAAGATTTTATTTAATCTGCAGGCACATGTATGTGGGAGGGGTTAATATAATAAAGCTTACCAACACTTACAAAATCCCTAGACAACGACGAACGACGAAATATCAATGCAAGCTAACGACGAGTGACAATCGGCAGAAAGAAGTAAGACAAAGCGAAGAAGATTAAGACAAAGACGAGAAGTTCAGCGAAAACAGTAAAAACCGACGAGAGAAGGAAGGAGGACACGAGAAACGAGAGAGAGAGAGAGAGCACTCGAGAGGATCTGACGAAGTTAAGACGCAAGCTGAAGCTGAAACGGAGCGAAAACGACGTGACGACGATCGGATTGGATTCAATTTGAACAATTTTTTAAGCATAATTAAATAAAACCCCAAATATATTTCTAAAATTAAGTAGTTAACTTCATAGAAGTAATGTTGATACCTCTGAGCTGTGATTAATATTTATATTTGTTTAGAAAATTGTCAGTTTTAACCATTGTTGTTGATTACAAATACGTTGTTAGTATGTATTAAGCCAAAATAGTAAAATAAAGCATTTTGACACCTCTACGATCCATTTCAGAAACCTAAGAGATTCATCGGAACATTCTCGTTCAACCTTTTAAATGTAAAAATTTTTAACTTTATTGTTGGTAAGTTCTTAATAGGTTAGTTCACATTTTAACTATATCAGGCAAGGAAACCAAAAGAAGATGTGTCCTTTATAGATGGCAATCTTCGTAGTAAAAGTTGCTTAAAATGATGCAGTCCTTTGAAATTAATCGCGTTGAATGGAAAGAAAATTCCACCAAATGAAAGCTTCAAAAATGCAGTTGTCAATTGTCAACTGCAACTGCAACTGCAACTGCCACTGCCACTGCAACCGTTTATGGCTCAACATTTTTTGTGCCCCGACATATACCAGATGATATGTATATTTATAAAGCAGCTGAAACAGTCACGCACTTTTTGAAATTGTCACGGGGTGGGGGAGGAGAGATGAGGGGGCGATCACGTCCAGTGGACGGGACATTTCAATTTACTCATTGCGCCGCTGTCAACGGAGGAGGTTTCGGACCTGTCGCAACCTGAGGCCTGACAACAATCGCCAACAATCAGCGGGAAATGCGTTCATTTTAGGACATTTTGCAGTAATTGAAAGCGACTTGCCATCCAAATGGTTTTTAATTATTTTTTAAATTTATAACTCCTGTATCGGATCCCGGATCCCGGATCCCGATTCCCGGATCCCGGATCCCCTTGTCCTGCTCAGCAAATAAATTCCGCATTATTACCTTGTGGCATTTATATAAATTTTAATTTTAATTCAATTCCACGTCGCTCATTGCGTCGGACTTTGCGGAGCCACTGGCTCTTCAAGCCAACGGACATTTTGACGCAAATTATCCGATGTGGGCCCAAGGGCTAGGGCTCGTTGTCTTTGAGCTTATTATTTGATTAATCAAAAGGATTTCCATTCTCATTTTTCAATGAACATTAGTTAAAGCCATTTGTGGTTGCATTTCATCCGCAATAAGTGCAAATTGACACCGCTTTAAGAATTGCAAGCGTTTTCCTGGGGAAGTTCCTGAATTCTGTGATTGCCAAATTTATAGTCTCTATTTTAGTTCCAATAAAAATCAAAACAAAAAGCAATCAGATATTGTTTTGAAAAATAATCACAAAAGGCCAATGAAATGTCAGAAAAGCTTGACTGGACGCACCTCCTTGCAATAAATTTATATGGAAAAATATTAACCACAAACAACGATCCGGGCCATAAAACATTTCGCGTTTATCAGTTCGTCAAATTTATAAAAATGCCTTAGAAAGGAGTAAAATGTATTTGGAATGAAATGGCTGGATGATTAGTGGACAGGCTTGTGAGGTGTGGGTTGATCTTCCTTCTGCTTCCGTTGGGGGGCTAAGTGACGGGGAAGCGGCTTCTTAACAGCGGCTTCTTGGGTGTCATCGGGGCTGCGGTTGAGTCGGCTGGTAGCCGAAAACTAACAAAGATCGGGCAGCCGAAAAGAGTCAAAGCCTAGCTAAGCAGTCCCGTGCGTGTTTTCAACAATATAGACTGTCTCAGGTTACCTACTTGTAAATACTAACTAAAGTGAAGTCACTGACCTAGTGAGTCCTTAATTAGCATTCCTGTTTGAGAAATGTTTGGAAAAGCAATAGGTATGGACAGAAGAGAATATTTAAAGCCAAAACTTTAACAGTTATATTAATTAACCCCTTTAAATAAAAAATCAAATACGTTAATGCTTTAAAAAATTTATTTTGTTTTTTATAGGGAAAACTAGAATAAGTTGATTGATATTGATTGATTGATATCATGAATCTTCTCAAAGAAAGCTGTTTTCTGTAATCAAGTATAGCCTTATCAAATCACGGAAAACCTCTTAAATACACAAACAGAATATCTTGAGGTGCGGATCGCTGACGCAGTGGGACTGCCCCAGGAAGTGGTTGACCCGGCTGATCGGGCTGGTCAACAGTAGAACGTCCGACAGACGAACAGTGGCCTCGAATACTCCGTCTCCGGGAGTTGTCAGCACCCGCAGCCTCAACTCGTAGACGAAGGACTCCTCGCCAAAGTCCATGAAGTGGGATAGAAGAATCGTCTTGAGCTTCAGCTGGCGGCACTGTCCCAGTGGCTTGATCATCTTGTTGATGGACTCCACCAAAAAGCGGCTGCTTCGAACTACCAGGCCGTCGTCCGTGGGAACCTCGGTGAGGTCCCGGCAGAAGCAGAAGAGCGAAGGAATATGGGCCAGATCGCAGGTCCTGTGGTCCGGAATGGGGAGGAAGAGGCTGATCCCCCTGGGCATGTTCTTCGCTGAGTAAGACTGCAGACTCTCCATGCGGAACTGGATGCTGGCGTCCTGGAGAAGATCCAGATTTATCACATCCAGCAGAGTGTTGTGCAGGTCGTACGGTGTGACCAGGCTATGATTGTTCCTCTCGAAGTTCTCCATGGCCAGGGGGTACTTCTCCTTCAGCCACTCTGGGTAAAAGGCCAACAGCAGGGGCTGGGACTCCTCCTTCATGCCCTGGAAGCTCATCCGGTAGCTTCCAGCACGCAGGCCGTGGTCGGACATCAGCAAGAGCAGGGTATTGTTGAGGATATCGGCGTCTAGCAGTTTCTTCAGGAGCAGCATATAGGACAGGTCCATGAGGTAGCCATATTCATAGTACTCCTGGACACCCTGCGACTGCCAGAAAAGGGAGAAGAAGGGCCCTTTCTGCATGTGGGGAACAAGTCGGTCGATGAAGTCGTCAAGGACGTCATGGAACTTCCATCGTGCCGAGCAGTGGATCATCTCCCTGAGGTCTATGCTATATCGTGTATGATTATTCATCTCCATCATTACGGGACTTAAATCGAAATCAAAATCCGGTTGCAGTTCCGGGTTACGAGTGAAGATTCCCTCGGCATTGTCCTCGCCGTATGCTGTGCTGTAGCCTCCTCTCTTGAAGATCTGCCATAGCCAAGCCTCCTCATTGAATTGGGATAGTTCGGCATCCCTGAGGAAAGGCATTAAGTTTCCAAAGGCATCAACGCCCAGGCGGCTGAAGCCGGAGAACTTGGTGTGAGGGATATTTTCTAGAAGGGACTTCACCAAGGGAAAGCACCTCTCAAAGTGCATGTGGGAAACGGAGTCAATGCCCAGCACTATGACAGATAGCTTCTTAGGAGTCTTCACTGTCTTGGAATCCGGATTAGGAGGTGGCAGGAAGTACTGCACATCATGGTATCGTGTTTGGTTCACCTTGTTCCAGCACTTGATGCGAACTATCTGCTGACCAGATCCGACTTTGATTTCTTTTCCCCCCTCGGGTTTTAGGTGGAAATGTCCCCGCTTTAGGTACTTGGATAGAGAATCCTTGAAGGACTTCACCCAGTACTGGCACTGCAGTTCCTCTGCTACCTTTCTGGCCACCAGAATGTTACTCTCCCCTTGGGTTTTGGGGTCCATCAACTGCTTCATGCTGCACTGCAACTTGAAGATGGGCTCGAGCGCATACTTGACTGGCGCTGGTCTTAGCGGTGTGGTTATGTGGCACTCGGAGGTGTTGACCAGGACCACTTCCTGGGGTGGCGCAACAACGGCCTTTCTTTCAAACCACTCCGTCAAGGGCTGGAGTCCGAAGTAGAGCATGAAGAACACGCCAGTGAGGAGCAGCAGCCCCTTCATTCGCAAGAACATCTTGGCCATGTCTGCTGGTGATCAGAGTTCCCCAGTTCCGTATCCCAACTTGAAGTTGAAGGGAATGGAATGGCATACTGCCAGATACGGAAGGGTTGTCATTGCATAATCGGCATAGCAGTTGTGCTTTTAGCAGTATTTCCAATTAAGTGTTGCATAATCAAAACCATGCTGGCGCTGAATTAATAATATCGAACAAAGCTGGCCGAAATTACAATTGCTTCTGAAATTTATTTCCGAACCTGATCTCAGTGGGGGAAATTAATTAAAACGACCAGAAATGATTAGGAAACAGAGGATGAACGGAATGAATAAATAAAATAAAGAATAAATACACTCAAATTTGCTGGCAATGCTGATCCCACATTTCGATAGCGACAGGGCAGCAGTAAGAAGGGGGAAAATGAAATAAAGCCACTAATAAATAAGGAAATAACTAAATGCCATTCCCGAATAGTTTTTGCAATTGTTCTAAATAAATAATGAGCGCGACTGTACCGCCGGACTTTTTCGGCCGGCTTAGCCCTGTAAACGTGTGCGTTTGTCCGTTTAAATTATAAAATCTAATCACCTTTGTTTAAAATTTAATGAACGCAATAATTTTAGGGGATTTGCATTCACATTTCCCTGGCCACGGACTGTGAATCCGAGGGGGAAAGGTGTCCCGCCCAGTTTCCGTAATTGGCGACAGCCGAGGGGTGTAAAAAATGGCCAGCAGAAGGCATAAAAACTAAACAACATTTTCCAAAAAAACAAACAAACAAAACGGATTTGTATCTATCGACGGCCTAACAAAACAAAAGAGATTATGGAAAGCATAACAAAGAGTTTATTCCCCATTTTTATTTATCATCGCTGGCAAATAGCCGGTTTACAAATACCAGCGACCAAATATTTGAATGGCTGGCATAAAAATCGAGCAATTTATTTAACAAATTATCCATTTTAGCGCCGTTCGCTTTGTTTTGTCAAATGAGGTTAATTTGTGTTTAACCTGACATGTGCTGGTCGCTGGTTGCTGGTTGCTGGTTGCTGGTCGCAGGTCGCCGCCTCCTCCTGCGGTCAAGTGTGGGTAAACGCAGTTTGCTGGCTTTTCCAGCCAGTCTACCAGCCTAACAGTCTGCCAGTCTGCCAGTGTGGGCAAATGCAGTTAGAAGCGTCAACATGGCGGCCTTTTTACAAACTGTTGGATTATCCAGTAAAAAGCTAAAATCAGGGCATGAAGTGAGTCTACCCGTATTTATCACCCTTTTGAAAAAGAAAGATCTGTTCAAAATCAAAAATACTCGTACAATATCATTTTTATCGTTAGCTCTTGAGATACAAATAAAAGTTGATCATGACATACCTAAATAATCTTTTAAATCATTTTAAAAATGTGTATAAGTGTGTGCCTGACAGGGAAAAAACGATAAAAACTAAGACTGACCAACTAGTAACTAGCCAATATATGATAAGCTCTTTCAGAAAAACAATCACTCAAAAACTCATTTTAGTACTTATCATTTTTCTAGCAGTATTATTACTATACAACCTTGCACTGGACTATCTATTAGAATATAATAATGATTTCTTTTTACATAATATATGACATATCGATGACCAAAACACCTCAGCTCAGCGATCCCACAGTGGACTCTCCCAATTCCCTTTCGATCGAAATTGTCGCTCATTCTCGTGTCGAGGGCCGTGGCAGGCCTGGTGCTTTCAATGACTATATAGGCCTATTTGTACATACAAATGCACATATAAATCCAATCCGATATAATTGCACTGGACATGCCAAAGAGCACGCCGTGGAGTGTGTTTTGGGAGGCGTGGCTGGGCGGTTCGGATGGTGATGGTGCGTTGACGTTGTCATCAAAATAAAAATTAATTATGCATTCTATGCGCTGCATTTGAATTGCTTTTGTTGTTTGTTACTGTCATTCCCATTTTGAGTGCGTTTGTTGTGGCGTCGCTGTATGGCTTGTTGTTGTTGTTGCTGTTGTTGCTGTGTGGGATTAATGTGGCATTAAAGCACCGCGCATACTTTTTAGCATTTGGATCCGATAACTGCGGGGCAAATAAATTACAAATATAATAATTAAGCAGCATTATTTTTGACAAAACAAATGCCCAAACACCGCCACATCGCCACATCGCCACCTCGCCGCATCTCGCCCAGAAAATCGGTTGAAAATCGGAGGGTGGCCATCGGGAAGGGGCGATAGTTCCGCCCCTCGGCAGTAGGTGGCGTTGGCGCCACTCTGGGCGTGCTGTGCGCTGCTGCACTAAAATGCATTTGTGCATAGGAATTAATTACGCATAATGACAATTTGATAAAATTGAAAAATTACATTTTATTTAAATTGATTTATTGTAATTAAAAATTCTATAATGGCACCCAGGGCCCGAGTTCGCGGTCCACGCCAGAAATGCATTTTCGAACAAAGCGATTTTCATTTTATCAGCGCCGAACATTGTTGTTTCCCTCGATTGTGGGCCATTGATTAGACCCACAAAAGTATTCAAATAATTAGCGAAGGTATGCCAAGCAAAGTTTCACAACGGGATTAAGTCCTACAGCCACATATCCGTTATGCGGGTAATTGCAAATTAATAAGTTGGTCGGTTTATCTTTGCTATATAATAGTATTTTTAGTATTATTATTTTAGATTAGAATATCCCTTTAAAACTTTGATAAATATACTAGCCAGCTCTTGAATAAAGTTACTTAACTTTCCACATTAACTTTAAGTAGCATAGAAATATATGAAAAATATAAAATTTTAAATTTTAAATCATTAAATCAATCAACTTTCTTAAATTTTTATGGAAAAACTTGAAAAACATCCCTCTAAAAGCTTTCTAACAAATATGAAAAATAGCTTTTAATTATATTTTGGAGATTTGCTATTTATTTGTTTGACTGTCTTGATTTCTGCTGCTTCTTTTCGGTTGATGCTTTTTTCTATTTATCATTTTTTGTACACCCCAAAAGATAAGACTCAAATATAATCTCTTTCTTGCCTTCTTTTGATAATTGTCAGGTTAAGGAAGAGTATTTTATTTATGATATCAATGTAGAACGGGTAACCGTGGAACATGTTACTTTAGCTTACTATATAGTATCCCTAGTATCCGCTTAAAACATAAATTGTAAGCTTGGTTCGTGGGAAAAGGCTTGCAAAATGATTATACACCTTGTTCCAGATTTTAAAGAGCATTTTATTTTATGGGATTATATCTCCTTTAAGAATACTTTGTGATGCCTGCTTCTCTGCATTATTTAATAGCTATAAAATCTAAAAACAAATCTGGAAAATACAATGGTGATGAACTGGCTTATTGATTAACACACAAAATATAAATAAACCCAAAAAAACGAACAATTTAATAGAAATAGAACAAGTAAGACAGCTTCTCCTTGAACCATTGCAGCAGGCTGACCTTTTGGTGTATAATTGCGGGTTGCTCTTCCTCAGATTGCCCGATCTCCAGATGGTGGGGAGTGACCCCATTCCCGTCCCTGACACCCTCTACGTCGATGGTAACAGTCATGGTACTTGTGGTCTCACTGTCAGTGGGATTGCCATTACTCTCCGATCTGTGCTCCAAGGCCTCTATGAGGGCATTCTCGGTCACCGGATTCTCTGCCTTGACCTTGACGCGAATGTCGCCGCCGTATCCGATCCTCTGGCCATTGTAACTCAACGCTATTTGGGAGTCTACCAAGCTGAAGTACTTCAGATACATGCGGTTGGTGCTGGTGAAGCTTTTTGCTTCTATGTGGCCGATATCGTGGAAGAACCGATAGACAACGTTCGCCCGGTCCAAGTCATAGTCGCTCACGGAAATCCAGAAAGTGTTCCTGGGCTCTTGGCTGTCCTTGCTCAGAGATTCCTCAGGGGAAGTGGCTTTTGAATCCTTTAAGGCGCTCTGGGGAGTAGAATCACATTCCACTACTTCGTTAAGAGCCCTTCTGGCCAGTCCATCGCAGATGGGTCCTCCACTATATCCTGGCAGAGGGTCGTCTTCTGGGTGCTGGGAAACCCAATGCACCTCGAACTCTTTCTTATAACAATGTATTTCGTGCATTTCGTGGGAATATCTTTATTCGAATTTGTTTTTATGGGGCTAAGGAAACTTTATACTGACTACTTGAAACTGACTGTTCATAGGAGGGTTACTTAGCCTTATCAAATAATTTGGCGTCGAAAAGAAGAAAGCATTTTAACTGTGGCAAAACTTTAAAAAGAGTGATCTTGCCTGGATAAGGTGATACATCCCGTAAAGAGAATTGAGAAGGAAAGTTATGCATAAGGGTATAGTAATTTCCAACAAATGTGTTAACTTTTATCTTGTTTTTGGATGAATCAAAGAGAAGAGTTCAAGCTAGGAAGTATTGACTGTTTCAGCATCTTCTTCGGCATTAGGTCTGAGTATCGTAGAACATTAAACATTAAAACCATTAAATCAGGGAAAATGAAATTGGGTTAGATAAGATGGTGTTATACCTGAAGGAAAGATCATTGTTTCTGCTAGTACAAATTTTAGTTAATATTTATCATTTTGGTTTTAAGAAACAATAAATTTAAGCAACTTTTTAGGAAATGCCTCCTCTAAGAATACCCCCTGAAGGAGTACCTAAATTTAGATCAAACCAGAAATCAGCTGATGGATAAATCCTTTGCGTGTTTTATTTATATAAATTCGAATTCGATTCCTGAGGAAACAGCAGATATGATTTAGGCTACCCTATGACCCCGCCGCACACCCGACCGAATAATCCGAGAGCCACTAGAACCGGACAACATCAAACGGTCCGTGGGCCGCGAGCACCCGGTTTTGCTTTATTTACGCATAATTTCGGGCAATTTATGAGCCAGGTATTGGGTAGTCGGGGCTCCACATTCATAAATTTCCCAGCTCTAGAGCACGAGGAGGGATACGAGGAGAGTTCAAAGCGTTTTCCAGGTTTTTCGGAGTCAATAAAATATTAAAAATTAGCTGATATAAATATAAGTAATACTTGGAGGCGCCAAAGCATTTGTGGTCGTGGTGAAGTGGCTGGGATTGTGGTTCCGAGCAGCAGTGGTTGCCACCCACAATGAGGCACAAAAAGACCGCCGCGGAAGTGTCTTTCAGCTGGGCCCATTCAGCGAGCCATTAGCCCGGTCGGAGATTAAAGGCGGCTGCTTCCGTGGACCAGGTCAAAGGAACTTCAAACGGAGGAGCGATGCCACTGCTGATTGGTTCTCATCATAATTCCGGCCATCGAATGAGTTCCTAATTTGTTTATTTGTTTGCCAGCAGCGGCGGCGGCATCCCTTTGAACCCGCCGCCTCTATCGAACTCAGGTGTGACCTGACGGATCAGCCGTATATGTACTAACAGTGTGTAATGCCGCTTTCATAATCCTCCCTGCTTGCAACGGGATATCCAAGGTGTTAATCATCCGCGAATCGTTAAGCATAATCTCGGAAACGCCCTGATCAAAGACCTATCTCATTCTTGACCCGATAAAATCCAATGAGCTATTCGCTAATGAACTGTGATCTATCTTTTCGGCCTGGGGAAGGGCATTCTGGAATGTCGGGCTGCCGTTTACACCTCCTTTATCAGGTCTTTGGCTGGTGTGATATTATCAAAGCCCAAATCTGACATAAACTATACATTTTCCAGCTTAATGGTAAACCTTTGTTTGGGGAAACTGCCAAGGAAAATGTTCAAACATTATTCTTAGCAAAGAGCTGTTGAAAAATACGATATTCTGTAGTTGATACTGAAGATAATAATAATCATTCAAATATATATTTTACCTTTTCTCTTATTCGTTATTCACTTAAAAATGATAAAACATTTAAAACATTTTAGTTTTCCTAAACTTATATTTTATCATTTTGGCTAATCGAGAATATAAATACACCTAACAAGTTTCTATAAATAAAAAATGTTGAAGACACCGATTTTGATGTAAGGAGCCTTAACGACTAATCATTGCGAAAGGTCAAAGCAGCCAGAGCTTTGTAATCTACTATAAGGTTCAACATTGTCTGCTAAGCTTAATTCGTAATATAAATAAATTAACATTAAAGTTTTTATAACCTACTCATAACATGCCATAAGGCTTTGCCATTAAAAAGCGTAAGGAATATATAAAATTATCTTATTTTCTACATATTATAGCTTTTTAAAATACTTTTCACATTTTAAAATTCAGAATTAATGGATTTCAAGGTGATGATTGTAACTTATTTCCCATTTTGAGTAAAACTATTTTAGTTTCAAAAGTTGTAGAAAAACCTACGAATATTTTCCAAAGAAATGAGCTTAATGGAAAGCAGAAACCACTGTTCAGTTAAGATGTTACTTATGTTATTGTAATTATTTATGTAATTGTAATTAAGTCATCTGTTAATGTTTAATGCTAATCTTACACATTATGGTTATATACATGCTTTTTTCTCATCAACCTTTTTATAAGTATTTTTATTACCATCCCATTATATACCAAGTAAATATATATTTATATCCGAAAAACATATCAGCCGAAGGCGTCAGACGCCCCGGCTCCCGCAATAGATTTAGGTTTTGTAAACTTAAGTCTACTTTGTGATAATAATAATTATAATTCCTGGCCTTGGTAATAATGTTATGTTAAGTTGCGTAGAAAAGCTGCTTCTGCCAACACCTCCTTAACTCTACTATTTAGAAACAATTTCAAATTAACTTAAACCGGAGAAGGTCAAACATTTCCCTTTATGTAAAATATACAAAAAATAATCTATATATCTATATCTATTACCTGCTTTAAACTTAAATGACCATTTAACTTACTTTAGTTTAAAATTCGTCTCTTCATAATAAGTATTGCCATGTGGCGGCATTTAATTTGCCTTTTGGCCAAGCTGTTTCCAAATCGCTCACCAATACAACCTACTACTGTTTATATTTTTCACGGGTGGGTGGGGTTGATGGGTGAGTGTGTGGGAGGGGGAGGTGCCGTGGAGGTCGTGCGTCGACGCCGCGGCCGACGTCGCTGCTCAAGAATTGCCGGCAATTTTTGCACATGCACCTCTGTTTACTAGTGCTTGTGTGTGCGAGTGCTTGTTGGGATTTGTTTGGAGAGCAAGCGAGTCTCTCTCTTTCTGCGTGTGGACTTGTGTCTCCCAATTTGACGCTCTCTCTTGCAGCGCTGCTTCCAATCAGAGCAAGAGAGAAACAGTCTGAGAGAGTGCTCTGCCAATTGGTCTTTGCTCTCTCATTTCCCCTTCTTGCAGAGACAGCTCCGGTTCCATTTCAGACGTTCCCATTGCCCCGCTATTTCCCCTTAAACAGCGTTCGCTCTCTCTCTCCCGCCCTCAATCTCTAGCGATGTGTTTCGTCTTCCCCTCTTGACAGCGTACGGGGCTGTCTCGCTCTCGCACCCAATGGAAGTGGGCTAGTTTAAGGTTTTGCTTCTTTTTCGCTCTTTATTTATTTCGTTTTAGGGCTTGCTTTGTTTTTACCTTGCTGCGTCCGTGTGGGTGTGTAGCTGTGTGTGTGCGAGAGTTAATTGTTGTTGGTGCCAAAGTAACGCGCTATAAGAAAAGTGGGCGGGGGTGTATTGTCATATTCTGTCTTGCTTTATTTTTGCAATCTTCAACTTGACGTTTATTTTTCACTACTACCCATTCTCTCCCTACACTCCATTCTGCACTGCTTCCCTCTCATTGTGTTTGCCTTTCATTCGGCATATCTCATGGACGAGGGTCAGGTGAGAATTACACCGGAGATTGGGTGGATCGATGAGTTTAACAAAGGTAAAGTTGTAATTTGTGCTGTAATCGATGGATTATATATTTTATGTTTCTTAACTATAATCTAAAGTCCATAACTAATCTGTTAGCGTTTTCTAATTTTTCCTAATATAAATAAGCACAATTAAATCAATTATTCGTAACTTAATAACAAGACTTCTTTGTAAATTTAAAAAATAAATATTTATATGTATGTATGTATAAGGAACTATGGAAATTGGAACCCATCGATTTAAAATTCAATCAATTAATAATGTACTCAACTGTGTAAGAGCAGTGACTACATTTTCACATCGAGCCCATTGTCCTCTGGACTAATTTACTTGCATTTTCAACTGCACTGCTGATGTGCAATGATTTTCCTTTTAAATGTCCTAGTAGCAGCACTAATAACTGTCTATAGGTTTGTCTTCTTTACTTATTTTTTTATATTGTCTTGTCTTTGTCATAAAAAGGTTTTCCACATCCCCATTCCGAATGTTTTCTTTGCCTTCATAATATTGGTTACTAAATATGCTGCTGCCTTTTCCTTAGACTGCTGTCTGGTGCTCTTGTAGGTGAAATTCCCATCGAATTAGGAGCATTAGCTGACAGAGGGCGTTTAATAACCCAAAAATAATACTTAGTGTGAATTATTAAGTTAATATTAAAAAGAGAACAAAGAACAACTTTAATCGACAAGGCTTACATGCTCTCAAAGAGTTGATATCAACCTCAAAACAAGTACTTGCAATGGAAGCATCTAGATTAAAGCAACAAATAATTAAAGTTTGGTTTTTGTTAATAAATTAAGATAACGAAATAGATAGTGGAAGATATAAGAAAGGTTTCTATCAGTTCATTTATGATTTAAAATGATATTACATCGATAATGGTAGAATTTTAAATAAAACAATTCAAATCGGGACTTGCTTTTTAATAGTAATTTAACAATCATTAATTAAAAATAAATTAAAATGCTTTTGTTAAATTCAGTTGAAATGCAATGCAAAGCCATTGGCCTCGAATCATTAACTTTGTTTTAAAGAAATAAATTAACTAATAGATAACCAAATACTAAAAGCCAAAATAATTTAAATGTAAACATGAAAAAACCACATCGTGTGTATTTCCTTCAATTGTCTTCTTGGCATAAATGTAGCAGCCTGGCTATAATTTTAAACTATTCCTTTGATGAATTTATATATCTCCAAACCTTCAGTTCACAAATTCCAGTGAGTTGCCACATCCAAGGGGTCCCTCGTGATGGTTTTGCTGCAGACCAGGAACATCTCGAGGAGCATCGTCCAATCCGGGAAGTGTTTCTACCATGTGCTGGCCCGCGTTTGCAGGAGTTCCCAGCGGATCCCCAACACCAGCTACCTGAACACCGAGAGCAATGTGGAGCAATTCCTTCAGAGCAGTTCCTGGCTGAGGAGCAGTATTCTGTTCGTGGAGAAGACTCAGCCCATTTGCAAGGATAGCGAGAATCCGAAGTTGGATGGGGAGAGTGGGGTGTCCGGCCACTGGAACATTGTCCTTGAAATGGAGAGAAGTTTACTGCGGATGATCTGCTTGATCGCAGACCTCCTCCGTCCCGTCTCGCCAGAAGTCTTGTTCAAAATCCTGAATCCGTTTGGTCATTCCTGGAACATGGCGCAGGAGGATTTAGATGAAGAGCTCTCGGTGACCTGTACAGAGATCTCCGACATGCAGCCGCTTCAACTGGGGCCCTTGGGCGACTGAGTTGGATGGGAGACTCCATCCCAGCACCAGATTTCCACAGGGGCTTGCAATCTATTATCCTGGTCGTCCGATCACTAGACTTACAAATTTCCCATGACAGTTGTATTTAAATTTGGAGAAAATATATTTTTATTAAAAACGGAATCGCAAGAATGTTAAGCCTGAGGAATGGAGTCTTCGCGGGCGGTCTTCTCGGCAGCGGCTCTTGCATTCAGCTACTCGCTCCGTGTGCCTGTCGTGCTCTGCGAAAGTCGCCGCCGAGGAACTCTCCGAAGAAGCCATTCAAACCAGCCCCGGGCCAAATGTCCGAGGAGAAGACGCGTCTGTTGCGCCTAATAGAGAGGGGGTGTCAATGTCCTCCGCTCGAGTCGACCAAGGAGCGTTGGTTCTTCAACAACCAGCGCATTATCCTGACCCTGGCCACAGCCCTGAATCGTCCGCCTGACTTGGTGACAGACTTCCTGCACTCGCTAACCTTGCAGAACTTTGCACAGATCCTGAAGCCTCCCGTTTCTCCAGGGATTCATTGCAAAGTTCCCTTGGTGAACTGCAATGTCTGCGAGAACTACATGAGAGTCTTTGATACCAATGGAAACGTGAGAAGCCGCTTCAGCCAGGACACCCTGAAGATGCTGATGTATGCCCTACAGACCGTGCTAAAAGAAGGATCCCACGAGATGTCGCGACCAGATGGCTTAAGTTTTGGCACCCAACGGGGGAGCCACAGAAAGAATTCCATAGCGAAGAGGGCTGGCATCGGAGTCGACTCCGTCGCTCGGCAAAATGGGAAAAGAAGATTGAGAAACGCAGAAGCGAAGGCCGATCTTAACAGACGGTACTTAAGCAGCGGACTGCTAGATCACTCACTCGGAGATCCTGGCAATGAGTTCATGTCGAACTTTGATTCCGATGCCCTATATGCCCCAACGCAGGGCCATGCAAGTTGGGGTATGGACGATCCGTTTCCTCCAGACCGTTCCAGGCTGCTCGTCAGTCTGCTTACTCAGGTCAATGAGAAGACCTACCTGATGCGAGATACGAATAAGCTGATCACCACCATCAGAGACCTTAAGTTGGATAGTCCTTCTGGTAGCCCCAGGCCAGCGTCAAATCAGGACGAAGTTGCTAGGAAAATATCGGATTCCTACTACGAAAGGGTCAAGGCCACTCCCTCAAAAGCTCTGCTCAGGAAACGCTCAGCACACAATCTGAAGAGGAAAATAAAGTCCAATACAGACGATGACCTGTTAGGGAAATCAAAGGGCCGTATGTACTATGGGGATCCCCTCCCGGTCCTCCTGCACGAACCCTTCGATCGGGATAAGCCCTGGACCTGGCTGCGCCGACATCCCCAGCAGATGCGCATGACCGAAGTCGGGGAGGTAACCCACGGGCCCATCCGTCGATACCGGCGCAACACCATAGAGGATCTGTTGCAGAAGGCCAAGAAGCGGGCCTCGGTCGTCACAGTGATGACCATGGACAACGAGGGCAGAAGCTCAAAGACGCAGCCGATGTTTGGCCAGAAGCCGAACCAGAGTTCGACACCAACTACGACATCTTCTCGAAAATAGATTTAGTAATTCCGCTCGTTAATGAAAATATGTCGCTACATCGCCTCTTTTGAATGCTCAAACAGAGCAAATTTAGTGTAGCTGCCGGAAATCTTTGAATAAAAACAATAACTTTGAAATAATTAATCATAGTAGTTAAAGAAGGAAATGTTAAAGTGGGCCGAGATGATGTATATTGGCCTTTTAAGTTAATATTTATAGATAACAGTTGTTGGTAGTTTGTAAAATTTGTAATGTTTTCTCTTAAAACATTTCGAAGAAATGGAAGGGAAAGTTCTTTTTGAACCTAACTAGTCATCCGATCTTCCTGTCTCTGAAAGTCTACATGAGACAATATTAAAATGGTAAAAATAGTAATCAAAATTTGGAACATGAACACTTTAAAGTATTCACCTACATCCCAGAATTCGATCTTCCCCCGTTTAGATATGACCAATAAGTCCTTAAAGAAATCATTTTGGTTTTCCTTTCTCGATAGCTCGATTGCAATGTCAGAGCAAGATCTAGACCCACACCCCAACTAATAATCCATTTCCCGAGCATTGGCATTGGAAAGCTGGCTAATGCCACCGCAACTGTGCTGTTAAATCATTTTGATAATGACACCCGATGGGGCAGAGGGCCGCGGCCGAAGAATTCGCCTCCCTTTCGGGGGCTACGAATATTATTTTTAGACCGCCACGTCGCCAAGTTGCATGGTATTTTGGTATATTTTCGTGATTTGAGTTTTATGACGTGTAGTAATTTGTTGGCTCGTTAAGTTTCTTGAATAGCGAGGGAAGGGGGGCGAAAAGGGGCTGATTCGAGACGGTGCAACCCGTTCGCTGCATATCGAAATGATCTTGCCGCTCGCCTGGCTCACTGGCTCGCTGGCTCTCTGGCCAATAAAATTCCAAAATTTTTTACGACCAGCAGAAGGGAAATCCAACCGAAATGTTTTTTATTGCCCCAGAAACACTCAATAAAGGCGAATTATTACTGTTGGATTGCCGTTCTTTGTTTTTGTGTGGCGACGCGCCTTCCCCGTTCTATTCCATATTTTTGGACCCGCTTTTTTAAGCTTTTGCCGCCTCCTCCCTTTAGTTTTTTTTCGGTTTTTTGGTTGAGGTGTAAATGCATTTTTATTACAGTTTTAAAGCCAGCAACAGTTTATAGTTGGGCTTTCTTTTTCCCCGATTTGCGTACACACATCTATCTATACGAGTGTAGTGTGTGGCTGTGTGCTGAGCCCTAAGCTTTTTTGTGGAGTTTTCCGTTTTAAATGCTGATCTGTTGTTTATGAACTCACAAATTTATGATGGCTTTTATATTTCGAGAATTACGCGATTTGATTAATTGCTATAATGGCACTGCACGAAGAAGCTGTTGCGTTGCCATGCTAAATAATATAGATACTAACATTTTGAATTTATCTAATTTAAATTGATTTTTAATCATAAAACTAAATGCGGCAATCAAACTTATCAATTTGAAATGATAATCACTCTTAGCTTTATTTTTCCACTTAAATATATTATAGGAATGATGGAAAAGTATAGAAACAGTTTAATAAAACTGCGAAACACTCCCGCTCCGTCTAAAAACGCATCTAAATTGGCGAACTGCAACTACTCGTAAACCATGTCCTCAGTCAGACGAAAACAAGGCCATAAACCACGACGAAGAGCCATTCCCCACTCTAGTAAAAATGTGAACGAGTGTGTCGCCTGTCAGACAGTGACATCATAATAGTGTCATTGTCATCAGGAGCCAGTGCATCCATGGACATGGCTCAGCTCCCGAACTGCCAAAAAAGAGCGCCGAAAACGAGGCGAAAATGCCGGAGTCATAAATCAAAAGAGCGCCGCATGACGAGCTAAACAAACAAAAACAATTAGAAATAAGCGCAAAAACTAAACGGAACAGGAGGATGAGAACGAATATGATGTGGATGTGGATGTGCTCCATATGCTGGGTATAAATAAGCAGTGCAGGCCAGGACGAAACAGCCAAACAAGGACGACGACGAGGACAACATTTCATCAACGCAAACGAGCGAAACGTTTATCAACTGCTCAAATGGCCATTAAACGTGTGTGTGTCCCGACATCAACGCCCCAAAACAGAAAGTGGGATGCCAGGACTATCTGCCAGGACATTCATCAAACGATAAATTGAGTGAATGACTTCATGATGGCGATGCAAAAGGGGCGCACTTCCTCACTTCCGCACGCTCACTCACTCACTCACTCGCTCGCTCGCCTCCAAGCATGGACAATTGGCCAGGACATGTTGCAGTTGCTGACCCCCTCTCTCAGGAGGCGGTGCGTTTGCCACGCCCCCTAGCACCATGGCCAAAAGCAGATGGAAAACCCAGAGAAAAACCCATTTTGAGCGACTGTCTGCTGTCTGCCTTTGCCTCAAATTGCCATCACATCCTGTTTGCCGGCCAGAGGACGATGGCATGCCAATTGTTTCTCTGATTGGTATTCATCCATGGACTGACCAGTTGGTGCAGCCGTCAGGACCTGTTATCCTTTCGGCTCCCGTTTTTGGCCGCCTTTCGCCCTGCAGTCTCGTCTTCGTCCTGAGGCCACATCCATCATTCGGCGCCTGACGTGACGTTAGTGTTTTAATGGACTCCACTTGTCTGCCCTGATCACAGGACCCTGGAGTCCACAGTCCACAGTCCAGAGTCCAGTGTCCGGAGTCCAATCCCACATCCTTCGACTGCATTGTTTGTCTACGTGCTGGCAGCCGACTCTGTCAGCCGGAATGAGGGGTTTTTTATTGCAGTCCAGCTCGGAGTCATTTGCATCTTTATTTGAGTCCGAGGCGTATTTATCTTTCGTCTTTGCAGTTGATTTGCCATGCACTCAGGGAAAATGGTGGGCTATAAACGTTGTAAAAGGGTCCTTTATAATCGCCTTTAACTTGGCATAGTGTTTACTTTGAATCTTTAGTGAATGATTATAATTATTACTTTACTATCATTAAGTCAAGGAATTATTCTCTAAAACCTGTTTACTGGCAATATTTAGGGGAATACCCAAATCATAACTGCATCCATAAAGAAGTGTAGGTATTTTATGATATATATAATGTTAATAGGTATAACAAAGTGGTTTAAGACTAACAGCTGTTAATTCATTCAACTTGGGCTTCAGAGAAGCTAATTCGCTATTAGTCTGCTGTTGAAAGATTATTGGAGATCATTTGTAGTTAAAGTAAGTCTAGGTCATTATTTTCTTTGTCGTTAGGCAAGGAAACTACAATATGTATAGATTATTATCGTTGATAATTTAACAGCATTTAATGATTACTGTATTCTCCATCTCATAGCCACAAGTTGGCCTAGTTAAGCAGCAAAGATGTTCTGAGGAAGTAAACCCCATTGAGTGGCGAACTTGTTAACATGCCACCAAAATGTTCCCAGCTTTGTCAACGGGAATCAGGATCAGGAGTGATCGATGGAGAAACGGAAGTATTGGCAACAGTGTTGCGAGCTTAATGAGCTTACAATACCCAGATGGATTGAAGGCGATTCCATAGCATCAGCATCCATACTATGTTGGCGACTTACGTCAGACGACTTCCTCACACTAATCGTGGCGACGGGCTGCTGGCCGATTTTAATCGCTGCTAATATTAACTAATTGGCATACTTAGCCGGCGATGAGAGAGCGGTAGCGCGGTAGTGCGCCTCGCAGGCTCTCCATCAAGATGCGACACGGCCTGAAATTATCTAATGAATTTTCACTTAATCCGAATCAAAAGTGGCGATCAAGATGCGGCATCCGTTCGCATCTGTTGCCATCGTCAGCCAAAAGAAAACTCTTGTGGCATGTTGTGGTGTGTCGTTGTGTCGTTGGTTGTCATAATCCGATCAGCAGGCGAATCCGCGACCCAAGGCCCCTGAGGATCGTTCCGCAGACCATGGAGCAGGGCAGGGAGCGCCGGCAAGGGGCGCCCAAGATATGATCTGTGAGGTCGTCAGCACGATCGCGAGGTCCCCTCCTTTCCTCCATGCCGATCCGGTGAGTCTTCGCGTTGATTTTCTTTTCATTCTCGCTAATAATTCGCCTGACAGATATTCAGGCATAATTAGAGATTAATTGTTCTATTCATAATTGGTCTTGGCTTGATATTTTTGGACATTTGGCAGGAAGGCGAAAATTACATCAACGTGGGGTTCGCTGGCTGTCGGCTGTCACGCTTGCTAAATGCCACGGCTGACGGAGGAGGTGGGGCTGGGCGTAGGGCCCAGAATGACAGCAACAGTTGCCCATGCGGAATCATTTTCGCGAATGATGAGCTATTCGAAAGTGGCAAGAATAGTTTTTCAGCTAAGAAAAGGAAGGCATCGCAAAAATCTATTAGCAGATCTGCACATTTATAGCTTTGATTGATGATTTTATTGGATAGATTTTAGATTTGTATATTTAGATATTAACTTTTACCTCTTAAATGAGAAGGTGGAAGAGTATTTCCAGAGAGTATAAAGATGTTTAAGTACAGAAAATGATAATTAATATCGTCCCAGAAAGCTCTTCGATCTTAGCATTTCGATTTCCTTTTCTATCAAATCACAAATTGGTTTTCCAGCCTCAACCTGTTCCAGTGCCTGCCAAAAAGCGAATAGAATCCCTTCGGTCTATCTTGAAAGAGAAGAAATCTTCCAAGTTATCTTCACCATCACATCTCGAACATTTGTTAAACCTTTCCCTAACGGAACTTGACGGGATACGCTTGCCCTGCTAGCCAATTTTCTTGTATTTTCCTTGTTTTTGGCTTTCGTAATTTGTGTTATTTGGCCATAAAGTTGATGGTTGGCTCGTTTGTTTGACATTCCGCAGGACATGGCCGAAACGGAGGACTCGCAAAGTGAAAGCAGTAGCATATTTTATTTCTCCTAATGATAGCGCGGGCAGAATGTCTCCAAGGACCAAAGTCCAAAGTCCAAGGACCTGGGTCCCAGGACCCAAGACCCAAGCAGAAGCCAGAGCCATGCCAAAGTGGCCAGGCGAAAGAAGGAGCCCATAAAATGTGAAATTTATGCCCGGGCTTTCCTTTGTTTTTACTCAAATCGTACATAGATTATACA